TGCTCTGTGTCTAAGTCCAGGGATATGAAGAGTCAGCCGGGGGCAGAAAAGCGACAGCACTGGGTGATGCCTTTGGTGTAAAGGAAGTGAGAACATAATCCAGGAGATTGGGAAGTGTTACCTGCTCAGGTGAGCCCAGAAATCTCCCTCTCAGGGAGAGGGAGGTGGAGCAGGACCAGGCTGTGGTGAAGAGCACAGGGTGGCCTCTCAGATGGACACCCAGCTCCAGCCAGGTGGTATCCAGTAAACCACCTTTTATTTATTTTCTGAGCACTGGCTTCCTCCTCCATGGAGCAGGGCTGTGAATACTATCTAAAGACCATGGAGGGGCTGCTGCATGAGCTGAGATCCAGAAAGATAGAAGCAGCCATTGAAAGAGCTCAGAACATCATCCCACGATTCACCCTGGTCCACTTACTTAAAGATGCAGGGAGAACAAGGAGAATGCTCTGGTTCCTAGGCCTAGGTACATGCTTGAGCTGGGGCATGATAAGGAAGGGTGCAAGAGCTTCCTAAGGTGGCATGTTAACAGAGACTCAGGCAAGAGCTGGCAGAGAGCTGCGGGAGCAGAGGATGGCCCAGGCAGAGAGGCATCTCAGAGGCAGATTGAATCTGGTTCTGATGGGAACTCTGGAGACGATCTAATGTTTCTGAGAGTCTGAAATGCTCACTGCAAACAAAAGCTACACCAAGGGTAAATTGTGAGGATTTGGAATCTGAGTAGTGAGATATAAATAAGAAATGTGGAAATGGCCTGGAAATGTCACCATCTGAAAAGAAAACTGGTAAAAAAAAAAAAAAAGAAAGAAAAAGGAAAAAAAATAGCCACTAATGATGCCTGCCACTGTGTGGGGGAGGGGGCGGGGGTTGGTGAGAGTGTGTGCGTGTGCATAAGTGTGCACTTTGTCTTAGTATTGGGGCTCGAACTCAAGGCCTCACTTTCACTGGGCTTTTCCACTCAGGACTGGCACGTTACCACTTGAGCTACACTTCTGCTTCTATTTGCTGGTGGATGTTTGCAGATGTCAGATGGCTTTTTCTGCCTGAGCTGGCTTCAAACTGTGACCCTCAGATCTCAGCCTACTGAGTAGCTAGGATTACAGGTGTGACCCACCAGAGCATGGCTAATGCCCGCCATTTTGACTCTGCAAACTTGGGTTGAGGGTTTCTATCCGAATACTGGGGACAACTAGAGTACAGCACACAAAGTGACAGAGCAGTGTATAAGATTCCATCACAGACTGATTCCAGCCAGCAGATTCTTCATTACACGAAATGAAACCATCAAAATTTAGAAAAGTTCTATGGTGAATATCACCAACAGAAACAATCAACACAAAGTGAAATTAATGATGGCCAAAACAAAACCAGCAACCGTAAAAGACTCAAATCAAAAAATTCACAAGGTAAAATGTCCAATTACCAAGAAAAACTGTCTCAGTAGAAGTAATAGGTCTATAAAAAAAACCTAATAATGGCTACTTCCACAAAATTAAAAAGAACTGGATCAAAAAAATCTTAGTTACAGATTTTATGCAGAAGATAAATTACTTGAATAAAAGTAATTTTAGTAAAATAAAAATGTAAATAGAGGAAATTGATTAAGGTCTCCAATGGGCTTAAATATGATTCTCAGAAAGTATTTCCTCCAAGAAAAATCCATTAGGGGGGTAACAATGCTCGAGAGGAAAAGTACTCATTACCTTACTCGTGTAACTATAACAGTATCTTTACAATAAAAAATATATATTAAAAAAAGAAAAATCCATTAGTGTCATTAAGATTCCAATTAAAATGTTTCTGCTCTTAAACTTAGAATTAAGATGCCTTTGGGGAAGAAACTTCAGCAAGTCCAAGCAGTGGACCAACACTGCGGTTACCGTGGAAACCTTCCCTGGAGTGGTTCCTGCCACAATGGTGCGGAACTGCTGACAGTTCAGGGGCTCCCCAAGACCAGAATGTACTCTGCAAGTCTCACCTAGAAGATTATCTCCAAGAACTAATTTGGGAAGTAACAATGGGCACTCTGCGGTTACAAGCGTGACGGGTTCTGTGCACTACAAGGAAAATTGCAGGATGATGGCAACTCGACCAGATGTTGGGGGAAGCACAGAGTTGCTGGGCAGAGGAGGAAAAAGAGGAGAAAGAGGAGAAGGAGGAAGTGGAAGAGGAGAAGAGGAAGAAGAAAAGGGGGAGGAAGAGGAGGAGGAGAAGGGTAAGAACCAGTTTTCCATTTCTTGTTAGCTCCTTCCCCCAGTCTTGAATTTCTAGCCCCCAGCTCTGTCCGCAGCATACCGTATGCCTGGTCTTGACCACCTTTCCAGCAGCTGGAGAATATCCCCACCCCTAATGATTTTTGAGCTTCGGTAAATCAGCTTGCTTGCTTGCTAAACCACCACCTGGGTGTGGTTCTGACCTTTATAAACCCTGCCCCAGTGGAGGTCACTGCTGCTCTTAGCTCTGACCTTAGCTCAGGACAAGGCAGTCGCTAGCCAGCTAAATAAAATTCCTTTGTCACCTTTGTCAGTGTCTCTGTGGATTTTCTTGACTCTGAGGTCATTACAGTAGTAGGAAGAAGAAGAGGAGAAGGAAAGAGAAGAGAAGGAGGAAGTGGAGGAAGGGGAAGCGGGGGAAGAAGGGGAAGAGGAGGAGGGGGAGGAAGAGGAGGAGGATCAAAGGAGGCAGAGGGCAGGAGGGCGAGGAGGGCTACACACGCATGAACACACTCCGTCTAGGCACAGTGGTATTCTGTCTAAGCCCAGAAGGCGCAGAGAAGAGGCATTCATCCCTGACATTCTGCCATGACACTGGTGGATTTTATTAACTCTGAGGACTGGGGACCAAACTCAGAGCCTCAAATACTAGGTACTATATATTCCTATACTACCCCTGAGCTATGCACCCCCCCAACCCAGGAAGCCCACCAGGCTTCCTTCCATGGACTCTACGTTCATTCAATGTTTTGCTCTCTTACTTGCACCAAATGACAGTGGTCCCCTCCCCTTGAGAGCCTCGGGATGGTGAGAGGTGGGTGGAGATGAGGCCGGAGACTAGGGAAATGGAGAACAGAGGCAGACCTGCAGCTCTCCTCTTCTCATTCCTAAGAAGGTCTAGCTCTCACTGAAACCAAATGCTCTGGCCCTGAGATTTCCAGTACAGTAGGTTTTTCTCGTTCTATTTTTTCTCTAACTCCGTTATCAGTTTCTCGCTATGTGACTCTCTTTGGGGGAAGTGAAGATGTTGAGTTTTGAAATGGCCAAATTTCCAAGGAGGCCTCTGTTAACCCCAATGTGCACGGACTTCCCTGGACACCTGCTGTCTCCCCGTTTAGCTGTAACCTACATTACTGGGAACATTCTTTCGGAAGAAAGAAGTGCATGGCATTTCAAGAGTCCTGGAACAGTCTCAGAAACCCAGAGCCCTCTTCTTCACTGGCTACTTCTCCACAGAAGCCCTAAACCAGAGGGCCTGTGCACATCTTCGGCCATAAACCAACCACTCCAAGTGGCTATCATAGGCTTTTATAGGCAAGAGGTCTAAAATGGATAATTAGAATTAATAAACCTAATAATAAGAAGTTTCCAAAGCTCATTTTTCCTTTTCCTTTTCTATTACACTGCACAAAATAAACATGCCAAGATTCCATTGAAACATGTTATTATTTTCCAAGCAGAGACGCGAGGATTTCTCAGGGAGAATTAGAGCAGCCATGAGGATCTCATGTTCACATCCCACCCCCACCGTCCACCTTGGGGAGTTAGTGTCCCCAAAGACATCGCTTCAGCTCTGCCAGTCAAGGCTGTCATACTTCAGGTAGCTTCTTATAAGATCTATGTCCATGGATGTTGAAGAGCCAATTTGAGTGGGAAAACAGGAGAACTTAAAAACATTGCCAGGTGCCAGTGGCTTATGCCTCTAATCCTAGCTAATCAGGAGGCTGAGATCTGAGGACTGTGGTTCAAAGCCAGCCAGGGAAGGAAAGTCCATAGGACTTATCTTCAATTAATCTCTGTGAAGAGTGGTTGGTGGGATGGAAGGAATGCACCTGCAGAGAGATTTTTACAGTAGACCCCGACAACCCCTCTGGCATTCTTACTGAACTCACAGCAAAGCCAGACAGTGACCAGGGCACATTTTTAACAGCACGAAACCAAACCAAACAAACAAAACTCTCTTTTTAATTAAAACAAGTTTGTTGGGTGAGAACTTAGAATCAGATTCAATATCTTCAAGATAGATTTGTCGTGAACTCCTCTAGCCCAAGGCTTCCATTTGTCAGAGAAAACAATGCCGAGTGTGTCAATACACATCGCAGGTGTGTATTGTTGTTCTGACTAAATACAGGAATTCTGGGGCCCTGGTTGGATCAGCAAGATAGAAGTATAGGTGTAATCTCCCCGAGTTTTTGTTTTTATTTTTTCTGGTGGTAGCACTGGGGCTTGAACTCAGCGTCTCAGCTCTCCCTTAGCTTTTCTGCTCAAGGCTAGTTCTCTCTTACTTGAACCACACTTCTGCTCCCCACTTTTTGGTGGTTAATTAAGAGAGAAGAATCTCAGGACTTTTTCTGCCCAGGCTGACTTCAAGTTGGGATTCTCAGCTCTCGGCCTCCTGTGGAGCTAGGATTACAGGCGTGAGCCACTTGCTCAGTCTACTTTTCTGCATTACAGACACAAATTAGGCTCTGCAGGCTGAAGGAGGGAATGAGAACACCAGCGGCTCAGACCCATCACCACTGGGACGCCTCAGAGCGAAGAACTAGATGCCTGGGTTTCCAAGAAGTGTCTGGAAACTCTGCTCACTGTCAGGCTCTGTGCCAGCCTCTCTCCAGCCTTCCCTCGGCCACTGTATGTCCCACCTCCTCATCAGGCCACCACCTTCTTCCTTCCTGGACACTTCATGCCAGCCAGCGCCCTCCCAGCACCTCAGTCTGCCCTGTCCCCACACGGGGGCCGGTACAGGTGGGAGGGGACCACAGGCGGAGGGCACACCCTCAGTGTTACCTATTTGTCTTTCCAGGTCTGCGGCTTCATCCGGCGTGGCGCGCGGGAGGACTCCGGGGTCACTGAAGCTGGTACGCAGCAGGGTCCCCATCACGAAGAAGAACAGGATACCACCGACCACAGGGATGGCAGGGGTGATCTTCACCGCGAGGTATGGGCAGCTGCCAACAGGTGGGCAGGCAGGGAAAGCGGGGAGAAAGAAAGGGAAGGTAGTGTCAGGATCCACCAAAGCGGGCTGGATCTTTCAGCAAGCTGATTTGGAGGCTGATTTCCTATGCAAACCCCTGAGTATTGGGAATTTCTAGTGGGGGGGGGCGGTCCGTACTTCTCTCTCAGACAATAGAGCTCTCTGTGCCCAGCCTTGGCAGCCCCCAGTCCTGGCGGCCCATACTCTTCCCATAGGAGCTGCAGGCAGAAGAATGAAGAGTCCTGCTTGCACAATCGATCGAGGATGTACACAGCTTGTGTAAATATGCACATACCCTTTGCACTGTAAATGTCACGCATCTGGCTGCCCCCATCTATCCCTGGAATCACATACTAGAACAAGACACCAACGAACAGCTTTTCTCCTACCCTGACCCAACCACTCAGGCAGCCTTCCACCAGCACGAAACCCTGAGGACGTATGAATTCACTGGCACAAGGAGAGCAATGATTTCTCAATATTTTGTGGGTAATCTCGCCAAGAGTTTCAGGAGCTGTGGAAATGAACTCGCAACGGAGTTTGGGGAGAGGTTGAAAGAGATTTCAGCAGCTAGACTAGAAGAATCTCATGGTTTGTTTTTTTCTAGAAAGTAATTGAGCTAGTAACTGATGGAACTGGTTCAGCTCTTGTTTTGTTTTTAAGAGATAGGAATGCTCTGTGGCCGAGGCTAGTCTTCTGGTCTTGGGTTTCAGTGATCCTCCGGCTTCAGCCTCCCACAGAGCTGGGATTATAGGAGTCTAGCTCTTGTGTTGGTGACAGAGTACATCTTAGGTTTGTGAATCTTTTTTTTTTTTGCTGTTGGTCTAGAATATAACTTGCAGAGTGGCATCCTTCGAGCTACTCACAGTAGACTTAGCTCGACCCCTACGCTGATCATGGTCTCTATGGCTACTCCACCAATGGCCGGGCTGATGCTCTGGAGGCCTCTCGTCACCTCCCCCTCCCCAAGGAGGATGTCCCTTCCCCTTGCTGGGGTCTGAGCATGCATACACTTCTTCACACCTGTCCCAGGAAAGGAGGAGAAGGAGCAGAGAGGACCTGCCAGGGCTTCCCTCGCTGTGCAGCCGCTGCCCGGCTTGGTGCAGTGGTGGTGTGGTGGGAGCCTTTTCTGGCTTCCTGGTGAATCTCCTCCTGCTCCCGCCCATCCTCTGGAACGCTCAGGCAGGTCTAGTGGCTCCGCTATCATAATACGAAGGCAACAGGCAGTGCTTCGGCCACTCCAAATAGCCAACGTTTCAGTTAATTAAAGTTTAATGATCCCAGATAGCAATGGAAACTTAAGGACTGATTTTTTTTTTAACAGTACTAGGTTTTTTGGTTGTTTTTGTTGTTGTTTTTCTTTTAACAGTACTAGGGTTTGAACTCAGTACTTGCTAGACAGGTACTCTATTGCTTGGGTCATATTCTAGCCCTTTTGTTCTGATTATTTAGGAGACAGGATCTCCTCCTTTCTCCCCCCACCCCTCCCCCCCGCCCCCAAGCTGGTCCAGGCCTCGATCCTTCTATTTACACTTCCTGTCGTAGCTGGAAGTGAACCACTGCCGCAAGTTATTGGTCAAGATGAGAGCGCACCAACTTTTCAGCCAGGCTGGCCTTGAACTACAATCCTCCTGCCCTGCACCTTCTATCTACCTAGGATGACAGTGTGGGCCAGCAGCGTGCAGCCTTAGCAGGACGCCAAGCGAAGCGCTTGAACATCCCTCGCTGCTGTTCACAGCCCGTCCATAGCCGAAGAAGGCAGAGAGCAAAGAAAGGGAGGCGGGAAAGCAACTCGTTCCAATAGTTCTGGAACAAAGCAGCTACCCACTTTGGGTCTACCAAATGTTTAAAACGGAGACTAAGTACCAGCCCAGCTGCACTCTGCCCTCCTCCCACAGGGGGCAGCCTTCCGTCCTCACGGGTCCTTAGTCCCCTCCTGCCAGGCACTGCTCCCTCCTGTGCTCTGGCAGGGACAGCGGTGCCAGCTGTGCCACCCCTGCCTGCCAGTCTCTACCGCCTGCCAGTCTCTACCGCCTGCCAGTCTCTCCCATCTGCCAGTCTCCGGCCACCGCTGCCTGGCCTAATCACATACAGCTCTGCTCCGAAGCCTCCAGCGATGTCCCCTTGCCTGCCAGCTCTTCTTCAAGTTCCTTATCTGGCATCTCAACCCCGTCCTTCCTGACCTCTCCCATTCCCTCCCCTGTCCTGTTTTCCCCCTTTCTGACCCCACCACAATGGCCACATGAGCCTTTCCCGGTCCTGCCTATCTCCAGCCAGGTCCTGCGTGTGTGAAGGCTCTGTGCGGTATCTGGGCTTTTACACAGAAGGGAAGACTTCTCTCTCTGGATGCCCCAGCGCCAGCACAATGCGCCCCACCCCCCACATACACCATAGGAAGCCGCAGGGAGCTGAGTACTGAGTGCTGTGCTACAGGAGAGCCGTGCCAGCCAAGCCCTCCACTTCCACAGCGCAACCTAGATCTGTCTAGAATGTCGCTCCTCTCTGAGCTTGCTGGGGTTTGTAGCTTCCTTTACTCCGAAGCTGGGGCGCTGCCCTCTGGATGGCATGCTGGGCCGAGAGGAGGAGGGTGTGCCTCCCATGCTGGTGGGCCCTGGGCACACGCTCTAAGCACTGGTCAGACCTCTGAAAGTGCTGGAGGGTGCAGCACTTCACCTCGGTGCTACTCAGCGCAATGCTAGCAGCTTCACAACAGTCCCCCTCATCCACCGGTCTCTGTGTGGCCAAAGACTCGGCTGGGTGCTCTTGGAGATCCTGAACAATCTCCTGTATAAGAAGCAGAGGGAATCTGGGCAGCAGTGGCTCACAGCCTAGCTACTCAGGAGGCTGAGATCTTATGATCGCAGTGTGAAGCCAGCCCAGGCAGGAAAGCCCGGGAGACTCTTCTTGCCACTAAACATCCAAAACCCAGAAGTAAGAGGTATGGCTCACGTGCTGGAGCCCTAGCACCCAGGCCCCAAGTTCAAGCCCTGGTTCTGGCACATGCACACACACCAAACAGAGCAGAATTTATGCCAATGTCATTTGTGCTCCTAAACAATGAGATCAGTGCTACAAAACTGCCAAGCTGCTGCTGCAGAAGAGGCAGGAAGCATCTGCCGTCCCTCTGGTGAGGACGAGGCAACGAGCAGACTCTGCCCACAGCTGTGACGGTGCACGAAGGCCTCCGGGAGGAAGGGGGCAGATTAAGTGTCTCCACTGACCCACAGAGCAACACATGGCACGCAGCACATTAGCCGTGAGCAGCACGGAAACCTCCACCCCAGCTCAGACCCCTTGGAGAAGGGCGCACGCGCGCACATTTCCCAGCAGTGTGGACAGGAGCTCCAGTTCTGCGTGCCATCTGCGACCAGGAGGAAGCCACCCCCGAGGGCCTGGATTTCATACAAGATGATACAACTGCCAAAGGCACAGCCCCCAAATGGAGTCCTATTTCTGTCTCAAGAATCATGACCTACATACAACTCAGGACAGCACAGAACACGTACAGTGGGCGAGCATCTTTTTCTTCATAAAGCTCAGTTGTAAAGCGACAGGAGGACAATATAAGAATCTGAAAATATGGCTTTCCAGAACACACAGGGAATTAGCTAATTTAGTACCAGACAAAACAAATGCTGAAGTGCTGAGATGCCTTCACAAAGTATCCCTCCCCCAAACCGTGTCCAGTCCTGCCAGCTGTCCGACTAGACACAGGAAATATCCACGTAGAAACTGGCAGCTCACTGACTTCAGGTAAAGAAAGGCTATTCCAGGGAATAACTAGCAAGTGTAGCATTGTCAAGAGATTACAAGGAAAGTTCTAATAGAAATCTTATCAAATCTTTAGGAAAATAATTTTAGTGTGTTTTGATGCTTATACATGAAAGATGGAACTGTTTCCTGGCTGTCATAGCATTTGAGATGACAAAGTCAGGGTGTTTGGCAGCTAAAAATATGAAGATGGGTCAGGTGCTGGTAGCTTATGCCTGTAATGCCTGCCATCCTAGCAACTTAGGAAGCTGAAATCTGAGAATCACAGTTGGAAGCCAGCCCAAGTTTGAGACCCTTATCTCCAATTAATCACCCAAATCAGGAAGTGGAGCTGTGGCTCAAGTGATAGAGTGCTAGCCTTGAGCATAAGAGCTAAAGGAGAGTATGAGGCCTTGAGTTCAAGCCACAGTTTTGGCACAACAACAACAACAACAACACATGTAGCTGGATGTTAAATTACTTTACCCTCAGCCACTGACGCCTCAGAACCAATGCCATCGTTAATTCTACATTTGTATTTAGAAGTTGGCTCCCTGGCTAGTATTCGACATAAATCTGATTCCTTCAACAAAAACCCTGAGACTAAATTAATCTCCAAAACGTTTCAGATAGGAAACCTGGATTTCATTATTGCGCAGCAAGGTCTCTGTTTTTTCCACAAGACAGTCTTTGGGAGAAGATTGACTTTACTTTAAACAAAACAAAACAAAGTTAACAAGATGTAGCAGAGATATTATAACGATGTGGCCTTTGGAACAAGAAGTAGAGACTCTTTTTACATATTAAAACAATCTAAGTCATCTTTTAAATTTTTGGTCTGCAAATGGACACAAAATTTTCTGTTCATAAATCCCAACAAACAATAAATATCCTATATGTTTTTAATTTTTGTCTTGTTTATAATAGCATAGACCTGAGACTATTACTCTCCTTTTTATTAAGCCCTGGGGTTTTAAATTCAGAGCCTCATGTATGCTCAGCTTTGTTTGTACATAGCTGGCACTTTACCCATTTGAGCCACATTCCTAGACCAGCTTTTGGCTGGTTAATTGGAGATGGAGTCTTGCAGACTTTTCTATTCAGGCTAGCCTCAAACTGTAATCAGGATCTCAGCTTCCTGAGTTGCTAGGAATCCAGGTGTGAGCCACTGGTGCCTAGCAAGAATAACCTTTAGAAGTAAAAATGAGTTATGCATTTATTATT